CATACAGTTTGGAGGGCGAACTGTAGCCTCAATGTCTGCTTGAGCGTCTTGGGTGTGAAGGATGCCGCTGGTTTGCCCCATCCGTATGCCGTGGATGCGATAGCCAAACATATGCCGATCAAAGAAAGCGGTTCTGCGACAACGATGATCCAGTCATCGAGGAACAGTTTTCCAGTCCTCTGTATCCGTGTGTAGATGCGTGCGATAACCAGGAAGAATGCGACAACGCCGAAAGAAACGACAGGACCAAGGTAGATGGCGGCTTTGTTAGAGTATGGCACCGCGGCCATCGGGTCGGCCATCGAATGGTGTCGTGTCGTGGGGTTTGACCAGAAGGTGAGGATACGGAGGAGTCTGGGGTATTGCAATTGTCTTGCACGCTACGTGCGACTAGTTGTCATGGGCTTCGTGAGATACACAAGGAATCCTCGTATGCTGCGATTCTACCAAAGCTACACACCCGTGGACGGACAAGTCGTGAACGGAAGCCACGGATAGACAAGACGAGAAGACGAACAGGCAAACAAGAAGAAAGACAAGCCTAGATACCCTGGGCCTGAAGAGATGTTGAACAAGTTTAAACTTTCGCACCTCGGGATCCGGCTCATCGACGCTATATGCGGACCGCTGCAAGCATCGTATTTCCCGCCATTCTGACATGCGACAGCGTGGATTGATGAGGCGCCCGGCCATATGTCCTGTGAAGGCTACCACCTGCAGGAACAATAAAGTTCGAAGCAAACCTTCCGTCCTTCAGCGCGGAGACGAACTTGCGCAATGCAGATGCGGTGGGGAGGGAACCGTTGCTTTGACACGGCAGATGGGCCAGGGCCCTCAGGCATCCATCGTCAAATGTTGGTTGCGGATGAGCCGTTTACCACGCGACTGCTAGACTGATCTGGGTCTAGGCGCTCGCTCGGCTGGGTATAGTGAGGCTATCGCAAGCGGGTAGTCGCGTGGCATGATTCACGTACCTGGAGCTGCTGAAGCAATGGCTTCGTTTTTGATGGGTGCATCGCCCCTGAGTTGTTCAGCTCCGCGAGCAGGTTTATGCGGTAGATGCACGTCAACGGTGAATGTGGAAGAATCTTACCCCGGATTACTGCTGTCGCAATGACTCCAGCAATCAGATGAGCGAGAAAAAGGAAGTGCGAAGAAACTGCGCTGCCGCTTGATACGCCTACTGTGTTGCAGCTGCGACAATATGCACATCTCCTACCCGAAAATCTACCCATCGGGCTGTTCATTCCCTTCGCGGTGATGTATTCCGGTAAACTAATCGGTTTCATCGCTGCGATACCATCGACTCTGGCCCTGGTCCAGCGGCAGTACGTGCGTACCGTGTCCGGCGCGACCTCTTTTGGATTTGAGGATTCGCAGCTGAGCGCCGTCATTGGCGGCATTACAGGAGTCTGAGTCGCAACAGCATCCATAGGGATGATCGGCCCAGTGCGAGTCAATAAGTTCGGAAGGATCGCATTGCGCAAGCACTGCAGGATGAATGTATTCTGGTTGTTGGGAACTCTTGGAGTTGAAGATTGGCCGCCACGACGGGCGGAAGACGGCGGAAGACGAGAACCTGGATACAGACTGACTCGTATCGATAGCCCAGGGAACTGATGGCTCGCACATCGTTTTTTAGAACTTTGGTAGCATGCGAACTATGCGGTAGCAGAACCAGAGTCCCATATGCGCCATCCTTCTTGCATGCTGCAGGGCCGCTGGCGTTCAGGCTATACGAATGTCTGTAACACGCCAGGTCAGCCACCGCATTGAAGATTACTGATGGAAAGATGTAAGCCCAACTTCGGGCCTTCTTCTACATCCCTCATTCCCTCTCCAAGAATAGGAGTACATCGGTGTAGAACTCCAATGGTCGTAGGCTTGATGAGAAGCTTCCGCGGTATCTGATTGGTCTATGACATCATGCCCCTCACTTTAGCGCAAGCACGCAACCTGCATTGAAACTCTATCGCAAAATCGCAACCGGACATTGATCATCAACCACTTCCTAAACCGAATCTGTTACCCATCCTCCGAAAACCGATTAGAAAGCTTTGCTATGGTCGAATGTCCAGAGTGCGGTGCAGGGGCTGATTTGACGAAAGACGGTGCTTGGGCGCATTGCGCTTCCTGTATGTCAATGCCCCTATCTTGTAGACATGCATGCTGAGTTGTTATGAGGCAACACGGTATTTGAGCCAGGAAAAGAAGGTAGTCACTACAAGGGCAGCGGAAGCGGGTCTGGCGACAAGGAAGAAGAGAAGAAGAGCGATTCGAAGGATGAGAACGTGAAGAAGGATTGAGGCTAGACTTCGGGTTTGAGATATTCAAGAATGTTTATGTATGTTCACCCAGTGGTCGTAACGAGTTGTGCGCAAAGGTCGGACCTGCTGGCAGTACGAATGAACTCGCTAATGTGATGGCAGGCATCCGATACACCACATTCAAGGGAAAAACTGGCCACCCTGGAGTCTACGTTAACGTTAGGTCGCCCACTTCGCATCTTTTCATGTTGATGTAGTCTGTAGACCTACTTAATCTTTCATTCTTGGATGAGGTAGTATATGGCACACATGTATCGTGCCCGATCTCGCAATGATACATGATCAACGAAGAGTTCTTCTTGCGCCTATGTCATCTTCATCTCAATGGAGCAGCCCATACATACCTCAACGATACCCTCAGTAGTCACACTTGGTATTCATCAACGTAAGAAAACCTCGATCTATCCTAGCCTTCCACAGCGCGTCGTCTTCCCGGCTTAGGCCCTTAATTTCCACCGGACACAGCTGTTCCAGTAGGTACTTCTCCTTTTCCCTAACAACTGTCAGTTGATTCGTTCCCTCAGTGGAAGATATTGTATACTTACGCATTGCCCGAATCAGGTTTATTCTTAACGTCATATCTGGTCAAGTTCTCCTCGAGATACTCTAGTACCGTTGCCGCGGAGTACTGAGATGGGAACAGCTGCTTGCAATCTTTTGATCGGCAGTCGTGTCGGGTCTTTTGTCCGTGGAAGTACTGGTTCTTTGGGTAAATAGAGGACACTTCATGCGATTTCCTACCGCCGACTCCCCCGGATGCTTTTGCCGGATCGTATTGGATGCGATATGGGCTAGACAAACGGCTGAACTCTGTCTCGACGACCTTTCCCAACCCGTTTATCCACAGCGTAGTAGCTGCGTACCCAACAGTCTCACCGAATGTGTCATTTAGCGCATTCAAAGCGTTCAGTCGGAGTTCTTGAAACGTGCTTGTTTGCTCGGCGAAAAGGGAACGGCCACCCGGTGTAGAGGTTAATGAACGGATCGTGACAGTGCGATCACCCCAATACGAAGATGTCTCCAAGAGTAAGGGCAGCACGCTGATGCGCAGGTCTTCCAAGGCGGTCGGATCTGCTAAGTCAAACTCCAGCACAACGCTGAGCTCTTTTGATTCCCCAAGCTTCCAATGGGGCGTTGACCATCGCAAAGGCCTTGATATCCCGTCATACCTCTGTCCGGGATCCTTGGGGGTAGTAAATGTATGATGTAAGATGTGAGCGAGTTTGCTGAAGTTAGTGAACGTACTGCGCTTCTCCCTTGAATGAAGCAGCAATGTGTACGATGCGGCTTGTAGCAGGCTTGCCCAACAGGTCTCATGAAGCCGCCTGTTGGCGTAAGTGAAGTTGATTGGCAAGCTCGTGTGGACATCAAGATCGATGCAGATTTCCTCCCGCTCATGGAGAACCTCGGAAAAGATCTTGGAGAGTATGGGATGGACGGGTAAGCTGAGCAAGGTAGGAGGTGTCGGCTTTGTCAAGGTAAGGGACCGTTCGCTATCCTCAGCGGCAAAACTATAGATTTGTCGCTCGCGATCGAGTGCAGATCGGCTTGGTCGGCGAGAAGGTGGTGATTTAACCAAGCGGAACATACCACCGGAGCCGTCATATTTGATTGCAATTTCGAGCATCTGACTGCGAGATGCCTTTAGCATCATTTGGCCTTCGAGAATACACCGCATGATCCGGGTCATCGCTGGAGCATTACAGACCTCCCAGGAAGCTACCTTGTCTTGCAAGTAAGCGACCTCAATAGCGAGGCGGTGATGCCAGAGGAACTCCAGAAGTATGCCGACCTCAAACACGTCGTATGTGTACGGATACCCACATCTATCGAATTTTGAGGCCCACTGCCTAGTCGTAATATCGAGGATGACTTTACGGATCCAATGAACCTGTGAGCCCAGTCGCTGGAGAAATAGTACAGCAACCTCTGCTACAGTCATCTGACTACGCTGCGAGTATTGGTAGCTGTCCGGAGCTATGAGGAACTTGTTGTTGGCATAGAAGGCCGAAGCCACATCCGAGTAAATAGTCCGACATGTCAGAAGCAAGCTCCTCTGATGCTGATGTTCTGGATCGAGCGAGAAGCTTATGTGCTCTGAGCTGTATTCAAAATGTCGACGGAAGGTAACCTTGATGGGCTCAGAGAACTCGACGAGATCCTCAAAGATCTTGTTCCGAAGCTCAGCGGGTAGAGTAACGAGGGAATGTTTGCGCGGATCTGCTGGCTTCGAGTTGCCGCCCGATAGTGGTAAGGGAACTCTAGGATGAGCTTTAGTGAGGGCGTTGAGGGCAGTTGAATGCTTAGTTGCCATGATGATGGCGTTCCTTGATCCGAAGCGATGTGGTTGAGAGTCGTGAAGTGCGAGTAAGGTGTAAGTCAAAATCTGCAAGTCTTAAGTATATTCAGGGTGGAGAGAATACATGGGGCTATACAAAATCGCGCCACACTGCAGCCTTGAGTCTTACAACTCACTGGACCGTGCCCTTTGTCTTCCGACGCAGACAGTGGCGAGTTTGACGTAGTACTTCATATTCGGAAAAGCTTGAGCTTTTGGATACAGCTGCAGCCGTACTAATGAATGCTATCCGATCTTGGAGAAAAAGAATGAAACCAGATGCGAACGACGATGCTAAACTTCCACAAAACCATCACCTATCACTTCCTCCTTCATCATAGCCGCCCATCAACATTCCCATACTCAGCAAGCTCTACTTCATTCAAGTGACTCCTCGTTCGCATACTACTCCGCGCACTCTCTGTCGTGGCCAGACTTTGACGCATAAGCACCGCTCTCTTCGGATCCATCTTCGCGTTCGGCGATGCCGGCTTGAAGACCCGATTGCTTTCATGTCCGTAATACGAATAACGGGCGGGTCGTTTTCCTTTAGCAGCAGATGATATAGCGTTCGCATTGACGCCAGAATAAGAACTCATAGGACGCGTTACGGCTGGTATCGGCCAGTCATCAGTGTCGGAGGTCTCGTACTTGACCGACGATTCGGGCGATTCGTGATGTAAGTCCCACTCTTCGTGCTCCCAGATGGGGTCAGAGTATGTCGATGAGGAACCCGATGGTTCGTCAATGTATACTGACGAGAACGATGTTGTTGCTGATGTTCGTCTCGGCGCGTACGGGCGCGGGTGCATCATCTTCTCCATCTGCGCATCGAACATGTGACTCGATGCAGTATCGCGTTGATGCAGTCGGGGCAAGCTACGACGGAGCGACAACATGCGCGCTGGATTCCGTGGAGGTGGTGTCCGTTTCTCCAGATCCAGCATCTCGTAGCAGGCTTTTCCAATCCAGAGCATCTGCTCATGCTCGCGAAGGTAGCGCTCGCCACCGAAAGACTTCTGGACAATGTTACGAGCCATCATCCCCAGCTTTCGTCGATGTTCAGACTTCTCGTACATCCGACGCGTGATGGTCTCCACGTCTTTTGGTGTGGGTTTGTGAGGCAAGATTGGCGCCGCTATCCCAGGGCCGTCGTCGGCATATTGAGCCCACTCATCCAGCATAGCGAGTAAGTTGATCTGCGCTCGTGCCAGTCCGTATGCGTCGTTGGGGGCCACAACTTCGCTGTAGCGTTTGCCGTCGTCGGGATCAGTGAGCACGCGCAGCGACGCGCCGACATCAGTGCACACAACTGGTGCTCCAGTAAGCGCCGCTTCTCCGAGCGCAAGCGGCAGTCCTTCCGAAACGGAGGAATTGAGGAACAACCAAGTACTTGCGAGAACCATCGCTGGATCTGCAGTGCCGCGCATCGCTACGTTCTGACCAAGACCTTTACAAGCCAAGATCTCTTGACATTCAGAGGAGTAGACGGGCGATTTGTTAAGAGCTCCGTAGATATCGAGCTTGTAGTCCTTGAAGCCCCACTCGTTCGTGATGATGTCCGCCGCGAGTAAAGCTGTCTTGATGTCTTTCGCAAACCAGACATGAGACAGCATGGTTACTGTCGGCGTCTTCGTCTTGATCTCGGTCACCGGAGAGAACTTGGTCATGTCGGTAATACCGTTGACAATGGGATCGACCTTCCGACGAAACACGTTGCGGTGGGTGAGTTGACCCTTTGCGCTACCGATCTCGACCTCCCAGCCGGGGTTGAAGAAGTCTAGCATATCAAGTTAGTCACTTGGATTGGATAAAAGATGCGATGCACCTACCTGCACAGGGAAGAATCTGATCGGCGTGGTGCAAGATGAGACAAGATGTCAACTTCATTAGACCCAGTAGCGAGTTTCGGATGAAGGGCGGTAGAGTGCACATCGCTGATGAGAGGTAGAGGTTGGTCTCACGCCAGGAGATTGCATGATCCCAGATCTGAAGTGTGCAGTTGCGCTTCAGCTTGCAAACGATCCCGTAGGACGCTGACACGCTGTGGTGCGAGGCTTGGAAGACGTGGGGTATCTTTTCGGGGATGGGAATCGAGAAAATGAATAGATCTACTCAAGTTAGCTTTGTCGCGATCAACAGGAGGGTTTTACTTGCATCGGAACCACAGCTCTAGCGCCGTATCGAAGTGATTGAGCGTTGGAAGTTCAGTACGGAACCATTCTGAGGGCGGTTGCGCGTTCGGCATGTCTTCATCGAGCCACAGTCTCCTCCATGTATCTTTGACCACATCGCTTGTCCAGACCTCTTTCCAGTGGCGCGAGTCCTGGAAGTATGTGTTCAGGTTGACCAAAGCACGCGTCGCTTGCTTGACATCTGCTGACGTCATTGTGGTAGCTCGAGCGCCGCGAACGAGGGCAGTCAAGGTTGGAATGAAGTTCGTCTCGATGTCGGATATGGTTGCTGCTTTGACCAGATGGTCGACCTCACTGTCCAGCTTGTTGGTGAACATCCCATGGTTTGGATGCATGAAGTCCAGTCCCCACAGTGGTATCACCTTGAGTGACTCAACGTTCTCTTCGGTTTGGTGCTTCGGCAAGCCAAAGTCGTTAGCCGATTCGACGACCATGTGCCATTTGATGGTGCGCAAGTTGTTGATGAGATCTCGACGGCACGCCGAGACACCACCGCCTTCATTTGGCCAAGTACCAGTATCGACAGCGATGACATGTAGGTTGCGGTCAGTGTCGCGTTGTAGTGCTTTGGTTCTTGTGAAGATAACGGCATCCCCACCCTGACCAAAGCTGAACAAATCACTCATACGAATTGCAAGTGGCGTCCATGCGCTGATATCGCTTGTGAGGTCTGAGCTGGCCATGATGGCGTCGGCATGCAGCGCCAGATAGTCTTCAGCCTTTACGAGACTGCCACGATCTCTGCGTCTCCAATATGGGCGGAGGAGAGCTTCTCTGCGGATCAACTCTTCATCTACCCACCGAATGACAACACCATCTAGATCGTTCCGCTTCTTCCAAGCTTTCCAGAGTTGAGACCGAGCTCTGGATGTGGAAATCTCTTGCTGCTTGATGTTTGTTCGCAATATCCGACTGAAAAAGCTGGAGGATGGGGACTTGAAGGCCAGCAGGGGATTCTCGTCGGCGAAAGTGCATCGAGTTGGCTTCTTTAGTACGCCAAGCCAATCATGACGAATCATATCCGGGGTGTCGACTGGGGCGCCGTTGAGCTTCGTGGTGATGGTTGGATGGAACTTGTGATCATAGAGCCATGAGCATTCATATACGTCGGCTCCTTGGACGAATGTCGCTTCGTGAACGCGAGGAGTAGGTATCCAGCGCTCCATCTTCTCGGCATGGCGAACAGGAGGTGCACACCAACTGACGTTGGCTGACATATGCGGCAGCACGAATTCGGCGCGAAGAAGCTCGTCGTCGTACTTGGCGTTCTTGCGATAATGATATTTGAAGCGAACCAGGTTGTCATGGCTGATATAGCTTCCCGACTCGATGTGGCCCTTCCGGTTATAGACAACCTTGGCACCTTCATCCTGGCCGCTGCGGCAGGTTCTGCTTAGAGGCACCCTGCTCCTCTTGACCTTTGAGATCTTTGTCTTGCGTTGGGGTTGCTTCAAGGCATACTCGTAGAGGTACTCATTGATGACCGCGCCATTCTTGTATTCTTCACGCAACGTGATGCGCATCTCTTCGTCATAGTATGTAACCCGGAGATGGCCCCAAGTAGGCTCTTGTTCCAGGTCACCCGAATAGAACATCAATTTGACTCCGCTGGCTTTGATAGGATGAATGAACGCTGTCTCAGTATCTCCATAGCTTCGAATGATCAAGCGGTTCTTCTTCTGGACGATCAAACTACCCTTCACTGTCCCAGCAAGACCTGCGATGTCTTTGCGGCGATGGTACAGGAAGAATGGTAAAGCGACGGACATCGCAACCCGACTGTATATCCATAAGCCCGTTAGAACAAAGGTGGCGGACGCTGCCATAGGACGTGGTGTGTGCATCAAGGCCCCGTTCAACTCACGCTGGTATTCGGGGTCGGCCATACACGCGAGGAAGAAGAACTTGACCCAGGTTCCAGCAGAGTGGTAGACATAGGCGATCGGTAGACGGACGTATTCGGTAAAGATGCTGAGAATCGAAACAGCGGAGTGATTCAAGACAGGATGATACGCCTGCTGGATGTCCGCAGTCATTTGACGGTACTCTTTCTCGGTGAGAGCGTGATCACCTCGATTCTTGAAGAAGCTATTCTTGACAACCGCCAAATATGCGCCGAGGTCATATCGCGCGATGCACGACAAGATTGTACAAGAGCTTTCCGCGGGAACGTTGGCGTTGATCCAGGCCATTTCTGTGTTCGTGTAAGGTGCGCGGATGCCAACGCATCGTCGGAGGAAGAGGCGCCGAATCTCGAGCGGAAGATCGTCCCATTGAGTTTCGCAATCGAAACCTAGGCACAAATTTCGCAGGAGTTCTTTGCGAAGCGCAGTTTCAAAGCTCAGGGCTTTCGGTCCCACGATAAGCTCCGGCATCGACCGCTTGCTGCATTCTGATATGGCGTAAAAACCACAGTCGCTTTCCCGGCAGGCAAGCATTGATTCTGTAATCTCAGCCTGGTAGTGCGGCATGCCAAACATGGTCTCTGAACAAGCGTGTAGCAGGGTCTCGGCAATTATTGCACTATTGCTGCTCACATTCATCTGCTTTGAGCCAGATCCTTTCGCGTCCGAAGCGATGTAAAGCGTGAGACGTCCGCCTGTGTAATGCGAGATCGCCCGTAGGTCGCAATCAACCCCAGCCACAGCCTGCATAGGAACAATGAAGACTTTGATAGACTCGTTCTTCCACGCCAGAACAATCCGCTGGATTAGAAAAGGCATAGTTGGGAATGCTTGCATGGCAAGCCTAGAGAGGTTTTCGTGGGTGCATGATAGTAGGATAGCGCAGATCTGGTCACCAGGCTGACCATTGGGATACACGCGAAACCTGTTCTCCTTGGGTGCAGCCCGCAGCTTGCTGCAGTACGCGTGGAGCTCACTTTGACTGAACTCCGCATCACCACCAGTGCCGCTGTAGGCGCGATATCGCTCGTCGATGGCTGAACGATCTTCAGTTCGAGACGCGACGCAGCTCAAGCTAGACATCTCGGTCGAGTTTGTGGGTTCCTTGTTCTGCGCGGTATCTGGTAGTAGGTTCGACATCCAGGTGCGCACGTGGAGCAAATCAGGCATGCCTAGCTTGGCAGTCCGGAACGAGAGAAGAGCTGCCGTCCAGGTTGAGACAGCAAGTGCAATGATCTTGTTGTACATGAAACCTGGTAAGACCGTGATAAGTATGTTGCCAGTTACCAAGCCGAGAATGACTGCTGCCAGGAGCGGCATTAGTGCATGTGGGCCGGAGAAAATCTTGTTGTACTGGTAGAGGAGTAGACCAGTATATGCGCCAACGTAAGCCAGGAATATGATGAGACCGACTGAGGAGCCATTGAAAATCCAGATCAGTGCAGCACATATCGCCAGGGCCCAAACATGGACACCGATAAATCGGCATAAGGTGCTCAGGTACAAGTGTCGCCTGAATTTCAGATCGTTGGATTTGGCTTTGTCGATCTGGTGTGCGTCCTTAATCGAGACTGGAGACATTTGCTCAGACATGGTGTGTAAGTGTTGAGCTTTATAGTCAAGTAGTACAGCTCCAATGAGGTAGTACGCAAGACCGAAGCCGACTGAGAGGCGAAGTGTGTCGTTGTCCATGGATGGAATGAATCCGACTAGTTGGTCGCCGCCGCGTACAAGATCGAGCCATCGATCCATGAGTGCGACGAGGAAGTAGAGTATACCACAGTAGATCTCGTCTCCAGCGGTCCTCCAATGGATGAAGGAGTTGTGAAGGCGAATACCTTTTTGCGACTGCTGCATGCTTTCAAGCGCCACCTGCGTTTCAAGATTCCAGGTTGAGCTGTATGGAATCGGTCGTTTGGTGTCGGTAATGCGTGCATACCAGTCCAGTAAAAACAGCGTAGAGTCCCAGCAACCTGCGAGTTGTCTGACGAAGGTATCATTCGTAGGCTTCTGCCATAATCGGCGTCCGTTCTCCTTCAAAACTGCGCTGTGTAGCGCGGTGCGGCAAAGAGCTAAGATTGCGGGCTCACTCATGCCGTAGAACAAGTCTTTGGCACTAATCGATGTCTTTGAAGAAGGCGCGTTCAAGTCGAGAACTTTGGATGCGGTATGAGGACCTTTGCTCGATTGATCTGCAGAAGTCCGATTAGCATGTGCGGCTGAAGCGTTAGGTGTGGCATTACCTTTAGGATGCATACCGCTTGTGACACGCTGCTCCTTGTCTGACCGCTTCACATACCAATCCTTGATGTCAGCATCGTTAAGCGTCTTGATGTTGTGATACCAGGTCACCCATTGCGTCGCAACGTGCCGAGTACCGAGGATCAGCAAGGTAATGAATATGTAGAGAACTCCTGGATAGATGTAGATGTCGTAGTCCTGAATAAAAATGGTCAACAGAGGGGATATCACTAATGTCGGGACTACCATGATGATGACTTTGCGACCATTGAGGAAACTGGACCCGGGAACCTGATATGTGGAGAGGACAGCAAGCACGGTGAGGTATGTTGTGAGGCCGAAAAGGTAGAAGACGAACACCGCCCCAAGGCCTGGACCCACGACAGCTGAGATGATGACAAAGCCAAGAAGACAGCCAGCAAGAGTGAATGCTAGACCACCAACCAGACGGGTGAGTACGAACATATTGGCGGCTGAGAATGCCATTGAGATGAGGTAGTAGGTGCCTCCGATGGATATCCAGGTTCCAATCGCGCCAGAGAGGAGCAATGAGCACATCAATGCCAGTGTAGCATAGTATAGTTGGTCCTCTTTCATATGCACACTCAGATACAGACCATGGCCAGTCGTAGATAGTAGGATGATGTCAACTAATGCTGGAATCGCAAAGACACTGAGGAAGGTGAAGCGGCGATATGCAGGCATGACGGATGGCTTTTGCTCGGGGTCGATGTCGGTCTGGGCTGCAGCGTAAGCAGAAGCAAACGATGGTGCGTTGAAGATCCACATCGGAGGTTGGTGTTCTTCCTGGTTGTAGTAGTTCCTATGCTTCTCCGATAGTAGTATACCGATATCGCTGGGCTTGATGTCAAAGTACGCCTCGCATCTTGATCCTAGCGCGAATAGCTCTGCAAAAGCTGCGCTTTGATCTGAGTATTGGTTGAACAGGGGATTCCGATCCGACACCTCGATGTACACTTCCTCAAACCCGGCTTTCCTTGCCGCGCAGAAGACACAGAAAAGCACGAAGTCAGCCGTCGAATCTAAGGATCCCCTGCTGGTAATATTGTTGACAGCGGAAGTGATGATGTCTAGCTTCTCATGGTCTCGTGACCATAATATATCATCAAGCACCCTTGCCACTTCCCGGAACAATTCTAGGGCATCACGTCCATCAAGCGTGGGTAGATGTGAGAGCCGGTACCATTTGAGCTTCGCGTTGACTAGCTGTTCATCAGTGATGCTACCATTGATGTAGTCCACGTTGCTGAGCTTCTTGAACTGATGGTACGTAGGCACATCAATCAGTAACTCTTCGCAACGTTTACGTATGGATGAGAGCAACGAGCAGTCCTCATCCCATTCCGAATATTGCATGTGTTGCAGATACAGGAGTAGATCAGTCGACGACAGAAGCTCTAGGTCTTGCTGTAGCCTCTCGGGTAGTCGTTCAGGCGAGAAGGACCCAGCCATGAACTCCGTCAAGCCATATTCTGCTAAGAAGCACTGGTATCTGGAGAAGCCTAGCCTGCTCAAGTGCGTATGAAGCAGAACAGCGTTGAGATCCTGAACCGACTTGGAGATGTACATGATGACCGATTGGGTCCTCTGCTCTAGTTCACAGACGGCCCAAAACTGAGCACCACCCGGCGTGTGGAACCCAGAGTCGAGCGCAGAGTATACTTGTAGTTGGTAGTTGTCCTCCGCGTCGTCATTTGTACGAGCTAGTGCGTCTACAAGCTTAGAGATGGCATCTCTTGACGTTGGAAGCAAGTCTAGGAAGTGGCTGCTGCTGTGGCAGTAGTCGCGAAGAATCCTAGCGACAGAATGTAGTTGTAAGGTTGAGAGTCGGCTGAGCAGCTTCAGATCCCGTAGACGCCGTTGTGAGTCAATGACACGCGAAAAGTCCGTCATTGACGCGTCCAATCCAATCGGAAAGCATCCCAATGAGCCATATGGCGACCCATTGGATGAGCAAGACAGTGGGTCGCTGCTATGCTTCTCCCTTGCCAGTGTCCATTCTAGACCAGAAGATGCGGGTGATGTAGGTGTTCGTGCAAGCATTGCTCCGTTCTCGTCGATCTCGGGGTAGTGCACAGTGTCGGTACATGTGCTCGACGCATCGTCGTCGCTGTCGTCGGAGGAGTCGGTTGCGTCGAGGCCGGCGAGCGTATCGGCAAGGCGGGGAAAGATGTGTTGTAAAGGGAGGTAATCGTCGATGATACTTGAGAAACCGGGAGCAAGCTGACAAGACTTAGCAGTGACCTAAGAACGCCCAGGCCAGGAAGACTTACTGTTCGCGCCATACGATATCGCTCGTGGACTTCCATGACTCTTCGTTGCTTGAGCCACTGGAAAGCAGCCAAGGGCTCATGACAAGGAACAATCTCGTCGATGTTCGATAGAGCCCGTTGACGCGGAAAATATGGGATGGCGCCGTGGTAGCTACACCACATATGTGCTCTTCTGACCACAGCGTGCGAGAGTTCGACATCGTCTTCGATCGTATCCCACATCATCGTTACGAACGACCTTTGACAGGCTTGGGAAACAAAAGATTTGGTTGTAGTCTTCATTTTGTCCATTTCGAAGAAGTCTCGGCGCTCTCCATTCGACTTGATCGTCCCATTGCGGACGATGAAGCCAGCGAACAATGCGACATCGAGTTTCTGGACACCGTCTAGGAAGTCTGGAGCCTCAATCTCCAAGTAGACATCCAGACCGTAGGCAATGAGGAGCTTCGTCAAGCCGTTGACTAGAGGCACCGACATACGGTCTCGCCAGCCAGAGACAAGAACGCCTGTGAAGTATCTGCTCTGGTCCGGTTGTCGCAAGGTACGCTGAATAGTCCACGACAGAACATACACCGCTCGCGACATGTCCAGTTCACTATCCGTTGTCGCGAATGTGATTATCTGGGCCAAATCGAGTCGTGCGATGATGTGAGGCCCCATTGGAATGCTATCGTCGCCAACAGCCTCCAAGACTCCAGGCTCGCAATAATCCAACACTACAATGTCCCATTGTGAAAGTGTTTGCGCTTCATCGTGTGTAACTGGATTGCTCAGGAGGCCCAGATATACGCCAAACGTCGACGGCTTTGTGGGGAGGGTATGGGTTTTGCGGACGACGCTCGAACTGTTTGACAATAGGTGGATTCGTTCTTGTACCGATCGTGGTAAGCTGTGATCGTTGTCGTCACCCTGTGAGGTTTATAAGCCTTGAGAAGATGTAGCATGCATGCTACGTACCTTCAACAATGTCCGTAGGGAACGGTATGAGTACCAAAGGAAAGCAACAACTCCTACAAGCCCACTGGCACTGATGACGGCAACAAGCGTCCATTCCCACCATTCCTGTAGTGATGGTCCAGTCTCGAAAGCCTGAACGCCCAAGATATCCGGCGAAGGCATCGGTCCTGGCTATGATTTGTTGGGTGTAGATCAGATATCTCCAGGTGCTGCTCCACTTCCAGAGAGTACAGTGATTACCATATGGTGATAAAGGCCAGTTAGTAGGTAATGCACGAAGAACTGGTAAAAGGATCCATAGTAGAGACCGTAGTAGCAAGGTGGATATGATGCCCTACTGGAATAGCCAGTGTGAACAGGGTGGGAAAATGGTCACTGGCTCATCGGCAAGCTCATCGGCTACCGAAAGCCAGTTTGACAGATACTAAGATTTTCATCATGGCCTATGTTTGTGCAGTCATGTGTTAGCTGTTGATCTGCGAATCGCGTTAGCATACACGATAGGTGTGAACAATCCACCGCTGCAGGGCCAGCGGCAGTGACGGAGCAGGGCCATCCTTCGAGAATCCTGCAATACGGCTCTTGGCCGCCGCGAATGGCATTGGAGCGGCAGTCATCATTGAGGGACTTGCAGCGCGAAGCCTTTTGACCGGGCATTGGCGAGAGCGATGCCAGGGAACGCTGGCGATTTCTGGGGGCTAGTGCCATCTACCCCGAACAGCGGACTGTTACTGTATTGAGACTAGAGCAAAGATGATTTAGATCTTAACGACGAGGCGATGTCAGCGTAGGAGGGTGTCGTGATGACGCGACAAGAGTGGTGGACGAGGGAAGACGTGACGAGGCTGAAATGTCGCGGTTCGGTAGTAAACGTCCGTGCACGCGCATCATCTCTCTTTCGATCACGTTCATCCGGCACCGCCTTTAGCCTAACATCCTCCACACGACGATTTTAATATCCAACCTCATCTATCACGGCACCTTTGTCGGTCTTGTATCCGACGCGCATGCAATGCAATGCACCTGCCGCAGATGAAGTCTGGGGCGGTAATTGCTCGCGCAATATGGGCAGGCTGCGGGGATACGCGTGCTTTCGTGGAGCCAGGCTAGACGACACCCGGTGCTTCGTTCACAATATCCTTACACACACTCGCGTCCTTGCGGCGCCAAAGGCATTTTGCACCATGGACTTTGGCCGCACTTCTTCCAGCATGCATCGGGTTTTGCCTTCGGGGCTGCTCCAGAACTATCCAGTGGCTTGGTAGGCCAAAGTCACGAGTTCAGCCATGCCCTGAGATCTTCGCAATACACTGGTCTTAAGTGGCAAAGCTCATAACGCTGTGGCTTCTCAAGTACACTGATTTGCCAAGACCCTGGTAGACCATATGGCTTTAACGGCATCTTACGTATGCGAGGCCTTCCAGAGGTACGGCAATGAGTATTCGAAGCATCTGATCGAGCTATCCGCCGCGTCATGTTCTGAATCAAGTGGAATGCCAGGTGCAAGTCCGACTACTGAGGCTAGGAAGGGAGAAAATCGATAGTCTCTTGATCGTTTACTGCATCTGGACCAATACCCTCCGTGTGGCCTATGAGATTACATCTGCCGAGCCTTCTTTATTAACTCGTCCAGGTTCCTCAAAAAAAAGTTTCGGTAGCAGGCTGTTCACTTCGCGTCTCACGATGGCGGCTTTCGTTCTATCATTACTGCGAGCATGCGCACTAACATGTCTCTGTCTCTCCCTGCCACATGTCTCTGCTTATGTGGGAAGCGCCACGGTATCAAGCACGATCTTAGTGATCGCACGCGACTCGACTTCGGCCATCAACAGCGCTACACTTGGCCTTCAAGGTTACGGCATCCCTTACGAGATCGTCACTGTTCCCCAGGATGGGATTACAAACCTGCCTCTACTCAACTCTTCAGCAACACATGGCAACTACGGCGGTATTGTCACCGTGAGCGAAGTGGGATACAACTACGGAGATCAGTACTACAGCGCACTCACTAGGCGGCAATGGAATGATCTATATGCTTACCAGACCAACTTTGGCGTACGTATGGTCCGTCTCGATGTTTTCCCTACAGCCGACTTTGGAGTTTCCAGCGTCGGGGGAAACTTGAACGATGAGCCAGTATCATTCACGAATACTACCGGATTCTCCGCGGCTAATCTTAAGACGTAAGTCTCGCAACTCTACTCAAATTGGTACAATACTGACTATAACAATAGCAAAGTAGATGTGAGCATCGCGAACATATATCACTCTCCTGCGAAGATTGTGAACGCATCAATGGCATGGGAGGTCGCCAAGTTCTCGAGCAGTGGAAGCGCCGCAGTCATCAACCAGATAGGCACTCGGCAACAAATGGTTTGGTTTTTGCCATTCGCTCTAGACTGGGCACCGTCAAGCAACGTCCTCCAACACGCTTGGATCACATGGGTGACAAGAGGCCTTTTCGTCGGTTTCAGAAGGATCTACTTCAGCACACAGGTGGATGACATGTTTCTGGAGACGCCCATGTACCGACCGGCGGGCGTGAATTATCGCGCTAAGCCCGATGACCTTTCGTTGCATGTCACATGGCAGGCCAACCTGAACTCGAAGATGCCTGCAGGATCCGAATTCTTCATAGAGATCGGGCACAACGGAAACGGTGATATAGAAGCATCCACAGACACGAGTGAAGGCGAGAGAGTCTGCACCCCAACCAACGCAATCGAATACGCGGATCAAAAGGATGGCGACCCAGAATTCCAGAAGCCTCCTGGTACTGGCACCAACATCTGGCCTTCGACGCCTTCTCAGTATACCTGGAGTCTTGAATGTGCCGAGATCGACGAGCTACAAAACTGGTTCGCCGACGAAGAACAACGCGACGCCTTTGCGCACATCTCGCACACTTTGTACGTTCCATACCGCTTCATGCTTTGCACTACTGACTCAGTACCAGTTCCCACGCCGATTTGACCAACGCGACCTACTCAGATGCTTCCAAAGAGATCTCGTTCAACCAAGCTTGGCTCAAACAGGTTGGGCTTGATGCTGCTAAGCGCTGGAGCGGGAAGGGCATCATTCCGCCTGCAATCACTGGCCTACACAACGCAGATGCTATCAAAGGCTGGATGGATAATGGCATCGTCAACGTCGTAGGAGATAACACGCGTCCGCCTCTTCGCAATCAGCAGAACAGTTTCTGGCCGTTGACTACCAACGTTCAGAACAACGGTTACGCAGGGCTCAACGTCATGCCGCGCTGGGCAACGCTCATCTACTACAATTGCGATCTTCCCGCTTGTACTCTACAAGAGTGGATCGACACTTCTGCAGGCAAAGGCACGTTTGACGATCTCATGATCAACTCTCGCGACACCGCAATGCGCAATCTCTTTGGCCTACATTGGGACCCGTGAGTGCAGCTTCACCTCCTTTTTGGTTAACACTGACGTGCTATACAGTTACATGTTCCACCAGGCCAACATGCGCGTCAACGATGTTCCGTCCACAACCGTCAACGGCAAGAGTGGCCAGTACTCGCTACTCATGACATGGATCGAGGTCATATCCGCTGAGATGATGCGCCTGTATGTACCCTTGCTTCTCCGGAGGAGCATCCTACTAACATACTGCAGTACCACCTGGCCTTTCAAGACCCTCAAGCACGACGACCTCGCCCAGCAGTTCATCAACCGCCAAACTCGCGACCTATGCCGACCCAGCTTGACCTGGACTACATCCGCCAACGGCGCCAGCATCGAGTTTGTTAACGTCTACACGGCCGGCGGAAACAAATGTGGCACAACCATACCCATCACCGTACCAGGCGCCGTGGCAAGCACGACCGGCGCGACGAAAGAGCAGTTGGGAAGTGATCCGCTCACGCTATGGGTAACTATGAGCGGCGCAAGCAGGCAGTACAAGTTCTCAAAGGCCATTCCGCTGTAAACATAAGCACCCTTTGGAAGAACATGGCGTCGGTCATTATCGCAATTGTGATCTTCAATGTACATCTTTTAGCTGAAGCTCAGTCAAAATTGTCTTTGTGTTTTTTTTTCCCTGCATCCAGCATGACCAGTGAACGACTGCGGAGTTTAGGCGGTCATCTGTGACCCCTGAGCTAACCCCACATTCGCACAGCCACAACAACACTATGGGTGAATACCAGACCCAAGCTGGCGGGATAGCTGCGCCGCATCTCGCTACCTGCGTTTTGCAGCATCACAGCACCCGCCATGTAGTCACATCGTCTCTCGAGAACGATCCAGTCCTGCCATTATACTGTGACATTTTCCCAACAACTAAACTAATGTTCTCACCCTCATCAATCGACAGTATGTTCAGCTGTCAACCCTTCCAACCGGGAGCGAATTCCTTCGGCACGCCTCACCCGCAATATGACTGCATGAGCGCTACACCAATTGCAGTTACTATGTGTCTTACATACAACAGTTATATATTGCCTACATATGCAAGGGTGGTGCACGTCACTGCGCCGCTTGCGACGCGTCTTCTCGTGATATTCCCAGGCTATCGAATTCATTTTTGAAGCGGCCGATGTGTGTCGGGTGTGGGTTATCAGCGCGTATGGGTCTTCAGCTTGGTCTTGTTCTGGTGACAAGATCTTTTATCGCTTTAACTATTGTATCTGGCTTGTGATTGAAAATTCTGCGTTGGGGGAGGAAATCCAGCAAATTGGCAAACCTCATTTTCTTCGTCTAGCAACCGGTCGCACAAAGGCATGATGTACGCGAAACCCAAACCACGACAGCCATGGTCTCTACGGCGCAAGATCCTCCTTGCCGTCGGCATCGTCATCCTAATCCTCGCCTTAGGCCTCGGTCTAGGTTTGGGTCTCACCTTAGGACGCGACAACGACGACGACAACGACAACACCTCCCCACCAACCTCCACCCTAACACCCCTCCCCACACCAAACACCACACTCCCATGGACACCATCCGTATCCGATACCTGGCAAATCGTTCTCTCTCATCCACCCGTTCTCTCCTCTTCAGATACTAGCGCAACGCCCAATGTCAGTATCTTCGACATCGATCTCTTCGACACGCCCACCGCGACGATACGACAACTACACTCTATGGGCAAGAAAGTAATATGCTATTTCAGCGCAGGCAGCTACGAAGACTGGCGGCCTGATGCATCGGAGTTTAGAAAGGAAGATCTTGGGCGTGATCTAGATGGGTGGCCTGGGGAGAAATGGTTGGATCTAAACAGTGAGAATGTAAGGAGGGTGATGAAAAACAGGGTAAATTTGGCGAAAGAGAAGGGGTGTGATGGTGTTGATCCTGATAACGTTGATGGTTATGTGAGTAAACATCCACCTCCATGCCATTTTCCACCGTGTAGTTGTATATATACTAAGACTAACAACCCCCAGCAAAACACCAACGGCCTCTCCCTAACCCCCTCCACCTCAATCTCCTTCCTCTCCTACCTCTCCTCCCTAACCACGCCCCTAAACCTCACTCTCGGCCTCAAAAACGCCGGCGACATCATCCCCGCCGTCCTCCCCATCGTCCACTTCAGCGTAAACGAGCAATGCGCAAAGTACGGTGAGTGCAGCACCTTCGCCCCTTTCATCGCAGCGGGGAAACCCGTGTTTCATATCGAGTATCCGGATGGGGCGGGGGCGGAACAAGGGTTGGAAGACGATGTTGTGGGGAGGTATTGTGATAGAGAAGGGAAGGGACAGGGGAGCGAGGGGTTTAGTACAGTGTTGAAGAAGATGGAGTTGGATGGGTGGGTGGAGTTTTGTGATAGGAGGGTTGAGGTTACGGATGTGGATGAGGGGGTGGGGGGTCGTGGGTAGAGAAGGGGAGAGGGCATGTAGTGGTATGGCTCGTGATTACGTCTTGTGTATCGAAATCTGGCCATTACTTCTGATCTTGATGTTGCGTTTAAGCTCGGATGCATATGGTTTCGTCTCTGAACCAGCATGCTTAGCTGTATCGAGCTTTGCGACACAGCCGGGTTATCGTAGTCACCTACGCTGAGTACAGCCTGCTCTGATCACATGATGTGGTAGTTCCTATACCTGCGAGGTCAACGATGGAGGTCAACCCCCGTGACCTGCCTCATGCTATCGGCTGACACAGCATTTTCCCTGCAGCAACATTTTCAGATCGTGATCAAACACTGTACCAGCAGCAAACGAGTCAGTCAGACTTCAAAGCGATATGCCTCCCATTATTCCCGGGCAGCAAAACTCTCGCGCCCAACTCCATTCTTCCACATCTCCGCTACCCCAGCTCCCATACCCTTCCCTTCTGCTAGCCGTATATCACACAGCACACACAGCCTCGGGCTATGCAACTTGGCTTTAGCCGTCGTAAAAGCTGGAGAACCCCTGCTTACACCGGCTCTTCCTACCGAAGTGATGGTGTGCTTCGGCCGGGAATCTGACATCGGTGGCGTGTGTTTGAGGCTGACCAGCTCACTGGTGGAATATGGCGTTACCAGCATTTTGCTTGTTTGACGCATCAAGCAGAGAGTATGCATAGTATGCATTCAATCTCGGTACGGGTCGACTTTGCCAAGGTGTAGCTACCGGCCGGTTGAATGCGATTCAATATCCGATGCAGGTGAGGTGGAAAATCTGGGGCGGGTACGTCGTTTGCGGTAGGTATGCTCGGCATATTGAAGTCGTCTAATGTTTCCCCTGTGGTCGGTATAGTAAGACTTCTGGTCGAGCGGGTAAGCTGACTTGTTCGAGCAAGTTGCCGGGTGGGGCTGAGATGTCGAGGCAGAGTGGCGTGTTCATCTAGTTCTAGAGCGCGATCTGGTGCACCGGTCCCGATACAAGATGATGCATTAGTTTCTAGATCTGAACCACGACGTTAGTGGCAGGTGTGTAGGTCACCACAGACTACGAGAGGGCCGCCGCTCGGGGCCAGATGCGCGGTATGGCCGGGACGAACGTACATGTCGCATACAATACGAAGCGCCTAGATTGACCATGGATCTCGATGCGTTACGCGGGTCGACGTTGAAGATAATCGGGTCTGTTGCAGACTCGTTCGTACCAGCGAACCGGAATACACGTCACACGGATCCTTCCCTTGATGCAAGCCACCATGGGCGGTACATCCACCGTATCGGCGTGCGATACGAGCCTCTGAGAGTATCGAAAGTCCTTCGTGTGGTTGCGATCACACCAAGTCACTTTCCGTATTCGGTAGTCGGGTCCTGCCGCATATATTGGGATCCACTCTGTGTAACTGAAACGTTAGCACGAGGCGAATAGACTCTGCTGTGCTGTCTACTGGATGTATATTCTTGACATCCCTACAAGCCAATATGCGTGGTTCACGAAAGGTCTTGCCAATATAGGTAGGTGAGTCCCACATATCGATGTCGTCATTTAGCGAGGCTGATCGCGCGCAATGGCGTCGTCTCATCGTGGCTTGTTTTCTACCTGCGAAGGCCTAGCGAACCGGCAGCACGAATAGCTGGAAATAGCCATACGTGTCAAAGCTCTTTTCGATGAGGTTTCCTTCGTTCTGTTAACCTCGTGTTGTTTGTGGTGTGATCCGAAAGTTGGCACCTCGCTTCCAGACCCAACCGATCGGATGCGCAACGGACGCTTCCTTCGAATGCAGCTAGAGAAGTTCACGTGTAACGAGAAAGCTGCACAGTACTCTGTAAGCGAAGGTTAGAAGGGTGATGCGGAGAAGCGCGACAGTCCGCGAGGTAGCAGTCATGGCGGCACGACTTCGGCCCTCTGCACCTGTCTAGGGAGCACGTTCACTGCATGTCTTCGCAGAGCCGCCGGTACTTGGTCTCCATCCCGTCGCGAAGTAACTCCGGTGCTCTTCCAAGGATGACATACATCAAGGAAAGTGTCAATATCGAAGCCTGGAGCATCGCTTGGAAAGACGCACAAAGAGACATGGGCCGACGCGGTACGCAGCAAAGATTGAATTTCGAAATGAAGGCCAAGGTTGAAATAAAGTGTGTATGCAGCTCTAGTGCAGGACGAAAGGCTTGTTTGTTTGATCCGGGGAAATGGACAGGGGTTAAGTGAGCTGGATCTGCCGCCTAAAGCGGCAAACAGGGGGTAATATTAGAGCCAACCGGATGGACCAGTTGGTAGTCAAGAGTTTGAAGGCGGGTTTTTCGATGATCGTTGCTTGTTTGAAGACGGCATTGTGTAGCTGGGATAATTCCTCGTAAGCTTTCCTCGGATTCAACCGACGGAGTGGCGGACCGCTTGTGTCACGGAAGGACTTCTCACATCGCGGACCGCCCTTGACACGCCTCGTCACGGCGCATTAGCCGACTCGCTGTTGAGAAAGCCACGGTAGTACGAAGCAGTCGTGACCAGAAGATCCTTTCCTTCTGCATGCCAGCTGCAATCCGGAGATCAGGGTCATTCAGCCCCAGGTCTATAGACAGTGCAGTCAAGTGATCAAGGCTTGTCGCATAAGTGTTCGTAGGCGATGAAGTAGTTGAGACTGACACGGAAAGGACAACTGTCGAGGACGTGGGTGTCTTGCGTGGATTTAGCGATCGATGACCTGTTATCTACCGTATTCAGTTCCAAGGCTGTGACCCTCAACGCAACAGCGCATCCAAGCCTTCGATAAACGCAGGTAGCACACCGTCAAGCTCGGTATAGTTCGAGCTACCTGTCAGCCAGATGCCGCGGCCTACAGCTAGTAATTGCAATAGCGTACTAGCCGTCTCAAGAATCGACAGATTCGGTGTGGAGTGCACAAGCAGCGCAAGCTTTTCGCGATCATATGAACCCGTCGCCTTGAAGAGCTCGCCACTTTCAGTCGTCCAATTGGAAAATGAGTTCTCGAAAACAACGGTCAAGTCCGGCCCAGTGAACAATGCCTCATCAAAGTAACGAGGCTCTGGAAGAGCGCCAGGGTTGTGAACTATAGTGCAGTGTCAGCCTTACGCTCATACAACTGCCGGAGTTGGACAATGGGGGTTCTTCTCGCCTGCAATAGAAAGAGACCCATTGGAGGACCCATGGTAAAGTGTACTGCAACACGACAGGGGCCTCGAAGTCCGGCTTCGGTGACGGTCTTACTTTCAATACAGAAGAAGGCGGGCTGAGCTTACCAATATAGTTGTCCTTTAGTCCGGTGCTGTCTTGAATAGCTTGAGCGATGCTATCGAGATACACGGCATAGTCTGTAGAGTATTGAGTAGGCGTCTCATCAACGAAGACACCACTCAGAGCCAGTGAGGAATCATATTCGCCCCAGAATGAGAACGTAGCAATGTCATCCAGCACAGAACTCAAGTCCCTGGTACACCACGTGGTTGCCACATAGCCGATAGTGCGTACATTACTGAGCGAGTTGAGGACCTCGATGGCTGCGGTGTATTCTGCGTTTGGTAGTGCACCCTCTCCAGGCCCGTTATGCACGTTTACCACGACCGTAAAGTGTATGCGAGGGAATGATGATGCCCTGAAAGCAGTACATGTCGTTAGTCCCAGTATAACGAGTAGCGACAATAGTAGAGGTACCGTATCGTACACATCGTGAAACGGATCCCACGCGCCTGCTGAGGGGTAGACGTAGAGCGGAACAATTACGGAGCTGAGTCCGTCCATGACTCTGCTTTGAGCACGGCAGGCTAGGAGCCGATGACGAGACGCTGGCCCAAACGGAGATGAGCCGATAGAGAGTAAGATCTGGAAAAACACAGCTTACGGATACTGACGAACGCAAATATGTAATGGATATCCTTATGGTGTGTTCGGGCACCGAGAAGACGCTGACAGATGCCGGGATCGAGTAGTCGAACGAAGCCTCGCAGTATGCCCACGTTGGATCTCTGACGGCCCAGATGATGGTATTTTGAGAGATTAGAGGACGCGGCAATGCAACCACACGGGTACGTTTCGCGCACTTGGCCATGCAGATTGGACAGGGATCGTTAGCGATGCGAGAGTATATTTTCAGAGTGCTAGACCTGAGGAGACTCCGAAACTGATGAGTCGGGATGAAGAGGCCGCATCGTGCCAAGCAATGTAAACAATATTGACGGCGCAGGAAAAGTCTGACTTCGATGCCTTCTGCCTAATTGATCGCGATTTGAGGCTGTTGTTGAGCGTTGTGGCGCGTATAAAGAATTTCGGACGTATCGAGAAAGGTAACGCCGTAACAATCAACGCACTCGCTCTTCTTCCATACATTCGTTCATTCGCCAAGCATAATTGTGCAAGATGTCGTCATCCTCTTCGACGTACTCGCTATCGCCCTCCGTCACACCGGAAGTACTCAATACACCGGGAACACAGCGATCGGTGCTATTCGACGACGATGTAGTAGCGGATCCTCTGAGCATCGATGGATCCACGTCGACCTTCATCATGGTCGTCGGTGGGTTGGGATACATCGGCTCGCACACAGTATTGGAGTTGCTCAAAGAAGGATACAACGTACTGGTCATCGACGACTTGAGTAACTCGTACGAAACCGTCCTGAGCAGGGTGCGAGGTCTTGCGATTGACTTTTGCACGGCGCACGGGCGACGAATGCCAGCGTTGCACTTCCGTCAGCTGGATTACAGGAGTGCACACATGAAGACTGTACTGGCCAGCTATTCATCGTATTCGATCATCAGCAAGCCAGAGCCTGCTCCAGCAAGATTCCCATACTCGACGTTGCAAAGAACGGATTCCGGTATCGACATGGACATGGACGACGCGCAAGAACCCGCTGTTGAGCGACTGTCCAGAATATCAGGCGTCATTCATTTTGCGGCGTACAAGTCGGTTGAAGAGAGCATCCGGATGCCCTTGAGATACTACAGCAACAACGTCTGCGGGCTGGTCGACTTTCTGGGGTTGCTAGAGGAGTTCGGCATCAAGAATTTCGTGTTCTCCTCTTCTGCCACCGTTTATGGCGAAGGCGCTAATTGTGGGCTACCTCTGCGCGAAGAACTGTGTGTGCATCACCCAGAATCTTTCTTGGACAGCGACGGAGCAGAACGCCGAGTTTTGCCGGGCGTTCTGGGCCTCACATCACCGTATGGTCGATCCAAGTTCATGTGCGAGTCCATTCTGGCAGACCTGGCGCTTTCCGACCCCACATGGTCCATAACCGCTCTTCGGTACTTCAACCCGGTATGTATATTCGATGGTCAGGATGCATTGGAAGTGTGCCTAACAATACCAGGTCGGTTGCCACGAGTCCGGTATTCTGGGTGAAGATCCTCGACAGAAACCGAGCAATCTGATTCCAGTTATTGCAACAGTCCTGACAGGGACAAAGCCAGTGCTGGACATCTTCGGCACGGATTGGAACACCCCAGACGGCACGGCAGTGCGGGACTTCATCCACGTAGTCGATCTGGCTCGGGGCCATATTGCGGCTTTGGCAGCTTCGACGGCTGGTCGTACTTTAGCACCATTTCGCACGTACAACCTTGGTAAGTGGAGGCCTTATATGAGAACGTCTCACACTAAGGTCTGTGTACTGACTTCGACTCAGGTACGGGACGAGGACACACTGTCCGTGAGGTACTCCAGAGTTTAGAGGACGCATCCCAACGGAAGATCCCCGTCAGGGAAGTCGGCCGCAGGGCTGGAGATGTTGGCTTCTGCGTGGCGGAGGTGCGACGAGCAGAGACCGAGCTGCAGTGGAAGGCTGAGAGGTCCTTGAATGACTGTTCCGGGGACGTATGGAACTTCACTAAAGCTAGGTGTCTAAAGTCGTAGACAAGGGGCGTGCTGAACGGCCCTGCACAGTTTCCTTCATCATCCTTTCCCTGCATATTCTAGCATCAGCGGCATCTCTTCTCTTGTGAGTACAGCAAGATAGACCATGGATGGCATTTCGTGTACTCGAATTTAATACCCAATTTCCCACTGAACGACCAATGTTGCCGAGTGTTGGACGTCGTAGCCAGATCACGGAAATGAGCGAGACCTAGTAATGAGCGAAACCTAGTGGAGAGTCGACGAGGCTTAGAGGCAACGCGCAGGTACGCCTCCTTTCATATGCGTTCAGCGCCTAGACAGCCCGATTTTGGCCAATCGAGACGAACGCTGGATTGCTTTTTGGCGTCGTGTGGGTGGGTTCATCGCTGGTATCAGATAAGGCTGTGGCAGCATCTCGAGCCAAGGCCAGGTTGCATCGAGGCGAAATCTTAGAGGCACACTGTGCTGCTACGTCGCAGGCGCGGTACCATTTCCGTGACTAAGACATAGTCCAATGGAACGTGTAAAGAGCATGTGGCGAGGCGACTACTTCAGCTGGCTCGCTACACTCAACCCTTTCCGCCGAACGTGCGCAGAACCACTAACCCCACGATAAAATGGCAAAAGCGAAGGCGGAATCCAGGCTAGCGATACGGCGGTGACGGGAATGCGCGCAAACGGCCCAGTAATGGACGACGGCAGTGCCGTGGAGACAGCTCGTTAGTTCCGATTCGCCCACTGTGCGTTTCAGTCCCGGCCGGCTTGCGTTGAAGCGGTACAAGCGAAGTACAGGCGACGGCAGGATCCAACGGTGCGTCAAAGGGCAACGGGGCAGGCCGGCCAGGTCGACGGTACGATGGAGTTGCACAGAAGATGCTGACCTGAGCTGAATGGGGCGACGATCACATAGGGGCCGACAACAAAGAGGCTGAGGCTCTCCTTGCGTTGTGCGGTTGGCGTCTTGAGTTGGGCGGAGACGGCCGATTGGGTGCAAGATGGAAGGAGGCTTCGGAAGCTTTTGGCGATTTCAGCGCTAGGCCGAGTAGACGGGCGTCACGTGCCGGGTCAACAGTACTAGCAGCCCGCACCCGTTGCAACCTCAACGTCTCTACCTACGCACAGTCGCAAAGCCCACGCCGACCTGGATACCGTGGATTCTGAATCGCCTGCGCGTAGACCGTTCTGTTGCGATGCCTCCCTCTGCCATGGCGATGCCGGGGCAACACATGAACGGCGCTCCTTCGAACATCTCGGCTGGCGTAGATCCCACTTACTGGGGCGGCCACCAGGACTTCTCACCGGACTCCACATCGCCATTGTCGCCCTCACTAGGGCTCCATCTGTCGCCGACACAGAGTATCACCACCCAGAGCAGCATCAATGGCGGGACTCCTCCGGCGCAAACGCCCCAGTCGGACAGCGGCGGCAGCAAGGGAACCGGCCAGAAGAACAGCCAGAAGCAGTCAAATAACGACCAGACCAGAGCCTCGGTCGCTGTCGCGTGCGTCCCATGTCGCAGTAGACACTTGAAATGCGACGGTGGTGTGCGATGTTCCCGATGTAGGACCGACAACGTGGAATGTACCTACATCAAGTCGCGAAGAGGCTGGAAGGGCAAGCGGAAAACCAAGGAAGACACGGGCGCGTCCACGACCCCGAATGGTGGGTATATTCGCAACGACGACAATATCAACCCAAAATCTAACGTGATTAGGCATATCTGCATCTGAAGTCCAAGCCAGCAATGGCCACATCTCGTCACCTGAGTACTCGTACAACGGCGATGCTGGCATGAACCAGCTCAGCCCAACTCACGGTCTTGGCGTCCGACCTGTAGCCCCACCAGTTGCTCAACTCAACCTAAATGGATCCGCGCGTCTGAACCGATTTGGCCACTTGGGACCCGAGACGGCTGTTCAGGCCTTCTACCACTTCTTCTACAACTCACATCCCTTCTGCCTTCCGGAACGGAGGTTAGTGGAACTCTTCAAGGAACGACATGCCCCACTCTTGGAACATGCCGTGCATTTCATCGGATCCAGCTACATACCGTCGGTGCCCACGGCCATGTACAAGGAAGCGTTAGACCGTCAGATAGACAGCAACAACTACCCAAGAGATGCGTGGTCGGTTCAAGCCCTCCTCCTCTTCGCCATCGGTCTCCACGCCCACAATGAAGTCCCCCGCGCCGCCCAGATCTTCACCATAGCCCAAAACCTGACGCTGGAAATCGGCCTCAACCGGATGGAATTCGCGCTGATGCACGGAGAAAACGACCCGCAGCTGGAAGAAAGCTGGCGGAGAACGTGGTGGTCCATGTTCACGGCCAACGGCATGATGACAGCCGTCAACCCCGGCGTGCAATTCCGACTGAAAGACGTCGTAACCGACGTGCCACTGCCATGCGAGAACGTCGAGTACTTTTCAGGTGTAAGTACCCACTCCCCTGACATCAGATCTGACATGTGTCAAAATCGGCTTGGCATGTTTCCCTTCTTAGTGCGAACCCGTGCCGCTCTTAGGTACTCCAGATGAGATCATCTGACTGCATGTCATACTCCGATGGGATGGGAGATCGATGCATGTCATACATGTGGGGTGGGGGTCCTGCCGATTGCATGACCATCCTCCTGGGACAACACACTCAAAACCTTATACAGATCACTAAACTAACAACCCACAAACAGCAAATACCCTACCCCTCCACCCTCTCCGACTACGACGACTCAGCCTTCCTCCCCCACTTCACAACCTTCTCCTCCTTCACCTACCTCATCGACGCCATCCGCATCCTAGGAAAAGTCTTCGAATGCGCGCGTCTAGACTCCACTTTCGAATACCACGCCGTCGACGTCGTAGACCAATACCTGTGTAACTGGCGCTTACACCTCCCGGCATCGAAAACAGACATCGTCTCCAACGACGGCCACATCGACGAAGTCCTCTTCCAGGCACACATGGTAAACGCCGGCAGCACAATAATGCTGCACCGCCCGCGCAGCAACCTCGGTTTCGGCCGCGTCGAAGGCGTGAATATATGCGTGCAACCCGGGCAGGTCCTGCTTCCCACGCAAACCCGCGAAATCCACACTGCGAAATGCCTCACGTCTGCCGAAAACATCTCCTCCTTAATCCGTCTACCCGGCCCCTTACTCTACCACACCCCCTTCTTCACCTGCGTCGTCGTAATGGCGTCGGTCGTGCACCTCTCCTACTGGTCCTTCCTCGTCCCCGACGGCCAGGACGACATCATCAAGCAGAGCATCCGGCTCGATGTCGGCACGCTGCAGCAATATAGCAATACGTGGCCGATTGCGAATGTGGTGTTGGGGCAGGTGAGGGGGGTGGCGCACACGCTGTTTAATAGTAAGAAGGCGATGTCAATACATCTTTGGAGCAATTTGCAGCAGGATGATGTTATTAGGGGTGTTATTGAGGAGGGGAGGAGTGTGCCGACGCAGCAGTATGCGCAGTTGATCGCTCCGTGAGTACTTGCTTTCTTTTTCTTGTGATGGGATCTTTGTGTGTGGACTTGGGCTAACATTATCGCAGGATGCTGAAATCGTAGACGTACTTTCTCGTCTTGTCGCTTTCGTTTTGTCTCGCATCGTCCTTGTTTTACTTGCGCGTTTTAATCATTTTCATCCGTTGTCTCCGTCGCGCGCGTCAAAAACGGTCGTTTCCCGACTATAGCCAGCGAGCGAGCGAGCGAGCCTTATACTTGTCAATTTTTCGGTCGTCGCTTTGATCCGCTATTATGCGACTCTGCTTGTCCGTATTATGAGCATACTGACACCACGCGTCATTTCTTCTATCGTGTCTGGGCGGTGGGCGGCGCATTCCATTGAAAAGTCCGAGCAAGCGGAGTTGGAATATAATGAAGATACGAAATGTGCTGTTGTAGTAGTAGGCGCAACGCCCTTGTGCGTGTTAATAGTAGAATCGAAAAGCTTTTTTAGTCACATTCTGAATATTCTGGTTGATCGGAACAGTCTATTGTTCATTCGTCGAAACGCCGGCTAGTCCAGCGCTTCCTGTCGGATACTTCCGCCAGTCCTCCTCCGCATGCCCCGTTTTCGCCAAGAATGTCCTCAATTCTCGAGCTGCATATCCGTTGTCCCATTGCACTAAATCTCGTCCATGTCGTATACCCATTAGAGCCCTAGCCGTGGCCTAGAGCAAGCTCATGACCGTATCTACAAATCGGCGTCGTCCTCATCGGGCAGAGGCATCTGGGCGGCGTTCTCCATCTCCTGTCGGTACTGGTCGAGAACGGCCTGGTCGACCTGGACCTCGGGAGGCGCCAGAGCGGGGGCGGCGACAAAGTCGAGAGACTGGTTGCCGACGAGTTTCCGGGCGAGCCAGAGGAAGGGCTTCTCGAAGTTGTAGTTGGACTTGGCGGAGATGTCGTAGTACTGGAGGTTCTTCTTTCGGTGGAAGGTGATGGACTTTGCCTTGACCTTGCGCTCCTTGACGTCGACCTTGTTACCGGTGAGGACGATGGGGATGTTCTCGCAGACACGGACCAAGTCACCTGGGGCTGTTAGCGAATGCGTATCGGGGGGTTGTGGGCGCACGTACGGTGCCAGTTGGGGACGTTCTTGTATGTGATACGCGAGGTGACGTCGAACATGATGATACCGCACTGTCCGTTGATGTAGTACCCATCGCGGAGACCACCAAACTTCTCCTGGCCGGCGGTGTCCCAGACGTCGAACTGGATCTGGCCGAGGTTCTGTCGTCTCGTTAGCAGGCGTGTCGCGGGCGGCAGAGGGGCGGATAACGTACTGTGGTGAAGCCGAGGGGGTGGACCTCTACTCCGAGCGTCGCGATGTACTTCTTCTCGAACTCTCCGGTCAAATGGCGCTTGACGAAGGTCGTCTGTGGTGGGGCTGTTAGCAACCTGCATCGCAGTCTCAAATTCTCGCAGTCTCGCAGTCGCGCGGCCGTCTCAATAGACAGGCTGCTATCGCGAGAAGCGTCGGAATGGGCGTCATACCTTTCCGGTACCACCGTCACCGACAAGCACGAGCTTGAAGGTAGGGACTGAGCTTGCGGCAGTCTCGGCCATGGTGTCGGGTGTTGTGGCGGGGTGATGTGGTGTGTGAGGGGGGTAGTGGGCAGAGTCTGTGGGAGAAAAGATGTCAGTCGGGGTCGCACAGGGTTATTGAGCAAAAGACGGTGGTGCAGACTCACGGGCGATAAAGAGTGGGGAAAGTAGCGGGCGTGAGGTGGGCAAGAAGAGGTTTTGTTGTGCTGAAGTGTTGGCGCCCCGGGCGGTGTAAATCTCTTGGCGCCTTCCGCAATTTTGACCTCACAGGCAGGCAGGCAGGCAGACAGAGGCAGAGGCAGAGGCAGCGTTAGGCAGCTATAGGCTTCTTTGTCTCAACAGCCCGGGTTTGCCTTGCGCCTTTGTAGTCATAGATTGTGATTTACTGCCGTATTTACTAGCAATTCCTTGATCTCTTCCATCCTAAAGCAAACAACGCCGGGTATCATGCTATGCTTGTTGGCCAAACCGAGTGCGCCACGCGCGCTGCCGCCAGCCTTGCCTGCCACCCATCCACTCGACGTATCTCCCAGCTCGACGTATCTCGTGATTTATAATACACTACATGGGCAGCAAGTGACAGCCCAACAGCCCCCTTCCGCCCCAGTTCCTCCGCGGTGTGAGTTGCATCTCAACTGTCTCTGCCGGGCCGCCCGATGGGTTGGGTCGCAGCGCCTTGACGGTAATGGGAATCTGCACTTGTCAGCCTGCTGCACGCCCGACTGAAGACAGCATCCTGTGCAGCGTGATGCGACGTACCCCTTCGTTCTGCGACACGGCCTCGGCGACGCGCGACAGGTTCTCGTGGTTTGTCCAGTCCACCCAGCCGAACTTGGTTATGGTGTCATACACCTGTAAGCCGGCCGTCGCTGCTGGGCTGTCTGCGACCACGCTGTTGACCTTTGCAAAGGGCGCTTCGAGTGCGGCAGGCGGTGCGCTCAGCCCTGCCTGTCCGCCGTTGGCCGTCGTCGCGTCGCCCGCCTGCGCTGCCAGCCGCGCGTGGTGCTCGTGGAGGCCCTTTTCGATGCGCGACATGAGGTCCTTGTAGTCATTCTTCAGCCGTATGATGCGCGCGCGCGTGGTTCGGACTGCGACGGTCAGCGACCCTGAGTGACGTCGAAGATCACCGCTCCTTACTCTGGGGGACATCGATATCACTGCGTGGAAAGCCGTCCAGGGTGGTCAGGCCGGTGCTCATGCGGACGCCATGCTACAACAAGACGTCAACTGCTTATCCCGCCCATAGCCCTGATTTGCGTACCGAATCCAGCACCTGCCCTAATGCCTTCAACTCTGTCTCTACTCGGTCCTTCTCGGCCATGAGCTCCTGCAGCGTCAGCTGCTCTTTTGGTATGCCATTGGAGTAGCCTGCCGACGTGGGCCCAGACGAGACGGTTGGCGCGTGTATATCATCCATGGTGTGCAGATGTTTGTCGCCGCCGCAGAGTTGAGAGTGCGTGAATGCTTACTACAGCTGAGCTTGGGTGGGGGTGGCAGCTTGAGGGAGCTTGAGCTGTGCGGGGCAAAACCGCCAGGACGGTCGCCTTCCTTTTTCCTGCCACACTTCTCTACCAAACTTCACTATCCCAAGGCCACGCGCGTGACCTCTGTGCGTGCCAAAGTAGGAGTCTGCTTCAGCCGCTTAGTATGCTCAGTCTTGCAATGGCTCGGGTCGGCTACCGACATTCTTGTTCTGCCGTCATGGTGAGTCGCGACTACCAAGATTTGGTGAGAGCAACGCGGCCGCCATGTTAGCGGTCCTCGTCGATGGCTCACCACTCGCCCCTAACGAATAGCCTGTGTAGAATGCGCTTTACTGCGCGCCGTCTGGACCCTTTCCCTTAGATGCCGCCATTACGCTCTTGAGAACTTTGCGCCTCTGCGCTTTCCTCCCGTCCTAGCCAGTAGTCATATCCAAAATGCCTCAGCCAACTTCCTTATCGCTCTGCAGCTCACTTGTCTCTCCTTAAGCCATCGTCGTTGGATGCAGTAGTATTTATCTCATGCGCTGACAGCCTTCGTACCGTCCTATCCAGTGTCGACCGTACGACTACGGACATGGCATATGTGTTGTCGCTCCGGCCTCAGAGCCCACTCAAGCGGTCCTTCAGCGACAATCCATACCTCAACTCCTGCTCCCCTCAAAAAGACACACTACTGGCACCCCTGAGCGACATTACCGCTCGCAATGCTTCCGCGTGCTCATTGTATTCCCTTGGGGCGACTAGGGCAGGCGACTGGTCTCGGAGCAACGAGAACACACCTCCACTTACCTCTCAGTCGCTCCTTGATCTCGTGCCTGAGAAAGGAGGCTTCCCATTCAGTACAAGACATGTCATCGAGGAGCCACGCAAGCGCAACTGTGGCCCAGATCGGCCACCGCCATCTTTCTCGAGACTCACAGTCCCACCGAGGCCGCATGCGAGAGGGTATCACAGCTCGCAGCGAATCGCGGAACCTTCCTCTGACAGCGACAGCTCGGCTGATGAAATGGACATTGACGACCACGACTTTGAAGAGACACACCTGTTCAATCTATACGAAGCCATACACGTGCCATTGCCAGAGGGTCGCTTCACCGATAATGACGGAGATGAGCCGCGCGAAGACTACGAAGAAGCGCCTGCGACTGTCTCTGTATCTTCACAACCCTTTCGGCGGTGGATGAGCACTTTGAGGCGTCGACACGCGCACAGGTGGAGGGATAACCTCGCTGAAATACCGCGGCTATCCTTCGACACCGCTGATGGCATGTCTGTCCTCTCCCGCCCGCTGGGAAGACTGTCTGAATCTGTGCGCAGGACATCGGAGTCTATGACATCGTCCATGGGCTATGTGACAGCAATGAAGTCGACTTCGATGACCATCGGCAGCGCGAGCATTGCACCACGCTCAGAAGCTGGAGTACCAGGGAAGGTTCGCTTGGGTAACAGAAGCAGCAATTATTCTGAAGCGCGCAGATCACTCGAGAGTCATCGTGGTGCGCTAGGGCCTGTGCTTGATGAGAGCGCGTGGCTTCGATCACTACAGCGTCGCAAGGTTGTTGAGGAGCTGATCTCCTCGGAAGAGAGCTACATTGCAGACCTCAAGGTCTTGATCAACGTATGTTACCTTCCAGCGGGCTGACTCTACCATTCTAATCTAAGCAGGACTATTTCATGATCCTTACTGCCCTTCCTACTCTGTCAGGCCAGACAAGATCATCCATACAACAGAATATCTCCCAGATTCTACAGCTCCACGAAGACTTGCTCGCCGAACTTCATCAAGTTGTACCTCAGGCAGACTTCACCAGAAGCGCGTACCAAGAGACGTATCCTGTGACAAAAGCCAAACATATTCGCTTCCATAGCGCCGACATTGTGCCGGGGCGCTTTGCCGAACACAAGACTGCCAGGAGGCTGAGGCATTCTTTGGAGATTGGACGATCGCCAGACC